TATATATACTGTACAGTAGTTGCAGTATTACTATTATTACTATATGTGATAGCTTGTCTACCTTTGTCTAATTAATTCTGGACTAGGAAATTACATATTAGTACATTAGGAATAGTTGTGTGCAGCCTGGGCTATACAAAACATCATAAAATTGCTATGCTACTCATGAAATTCTTATTTTCCCACCATTGACTCCCATCCACAACCATTTTCTTAAAAAGCGATGCACTAGCACTTTTACATGCTTGGAGATTTGGATACTCTAATGGTAAGATCTCCCTGGCTCTGTTCCCTCCCCTGCTCACTTTGATATGGATTCACCATAATACAAAATAAAGTGAACCATTAATAAGGCGGTGAAAGCTGCTACAATAGTTTAGGCCAGCCTGATGGAAAAAAAATTCCAGCACAAGGGGCGAAGGGGGTTCTTCACAGTAAGATCAGTTAGGGTCTGGAACTCACTGCCACAGGCGGTGATTTCAGCAAATAATGTGGAATTGTTCAAGAAACTTTTGGACGATTTCTTAAGGGACCGTAATATACAGGGGTACGGGTAATATACAGGGGTACGGGTACTCCTAGAATGAGATCCTAATAGGTTGGACTTGATGGACTAATGTCTTTATTCAACCTCAAATACTATGTAACTATGTAACTCAAGTACGGATATCTCTGACACTCTTCTTTCCTTTACTTGTTTAATTATATCCCTCTGTTTTGTAAATAGATTTGGCAACAAATATAAAAGGAGGCAAGAATTATTTTATCTACCATTGCATCTTGAGCCGCTAAACCAGGGTCTGCATAGCCTTCCTCTCTCACACCCTGTAATAAAAATTAATTATTTAACCAAATTCACTATTCTCATAATATACATATACATACATATATATCACATTGCATTTCTGCCAAAATAACAGAGATGTAAATTATAATATTTAATAATATAATGCAAACCATTCACCATGCCAGGAGCCTATACTTATTGTAAAAGAAGGATACTGGAAGTTGAATGAAAATTTGGTTTCCCCACTAATCCCAGGCTAATATAGAGATTGCATGTTTAAAATAATAATGGTATAGAAGGTTCAATAGTTTAGCAGGCAGTGGTGATAAATAGTGGTCTTATTTTTTAAATAAAATTCTTACCTTGAAAGTAAAATAAATAACTATTACATTTGGATGTTAGACTTTATAAAAATGGCTGCTGCATTGGAAGGGTTCTGTATTAATGGAGGTGGTGGGTGGGTTTAGAATAACAGCTTAGTGTTTGACTTCTGTCTTTCTCTTGGCCAGGATGTCGGTCCTCTCCCAGGTCTCCCAGCAGTTGAAGTGAATCTTTTGCATCTCTGGAAGGTGATCTACACCTACAGGTTGCATTGGGGAGAAGGTGATGTCACCAAAGGAAGAAAAGGTGGGTTCAGTCAAATACAAGTGGACAGGGAGCCCAGAAACTACAGACTTGGCCTCATCACCTCTCTCTAAGTCTTTGCAGAGGTGAAAAGGGAGAAGCAGTGACAGCGGTTAGCAAGGATAAAGGAAACAGTGGTAGAGTTTATAATGGCAGAGGTGTTGGCTGGCAGAAAGGTGCAGTGTCTGGGGGTGTTGGGGTGCAGTGTCGGGGTGCAGGAAAGCAGAAAGGTTCAAAGTCAGTGTTGCAGGAGGTGTATTGGCAGGAATGCTGGGTGATAGAGAGATACATGATCAGGATGTTGGGGTTCTTCATAGACCCCAATGCAAACACTGTCTACTTGTAAGCCTGCAGGGAGGGGGCAGCTTCTAAATTAAGTTATTTATATAGTATAGTTTGCCTTTAGGATGCCTTCAGATATATGCCTGACAGTTATCTGCACTTTACTGTGCATTATCTCAGTGCATGGTAATATACAGCATCGTAGCACAAGTACAGTAGGTGCCAACAGACCTGCACTGCAGCACATGTTCCTTGCATTCTGGTGCACAATATTAAAGATCAACCACATTGCCGTGCTTTGGCAGATCATTCTTGATCAACACACGTAACTACCGCACATTAATGTGTATGCAGTAACACACCGCAATGGAATGACATGGCGTGAAGGGGACCTCATTGTTATATCTGTCCTGCAAGCCATGTGATATGTGGACTAGGAGGGGTCTTCCGAAAATGGCAGACAGTATGTGCTTTCCATATGTTTTAAAAAAGTTCTAGCTTATTAAATCTGTGCTGCTTTATTATATTTGAAACATTAGCATACACTATATTGCCAACAGTATTGGGACGCCTGCCTTTACACGCACATGAACTTTAATGACATCCCAGTCTTATTCCATAGGGTTCAATATTGAGTTGGCCCACCTTTGCAGCTATAACAGCTTCAACTCTTCTGGGAAGGCGTCCACAAGGTTTTGGAGTGTGTCTATGGGAATGTTTGACCATTCTTCCAGAAGCGCATTTGTGAGGTCAGGGACTGATGTTGGATGAGAAGGCCTCCGCTCTAATTCATCCCAAAGGTGTTCTATCGGGTTGAGGTCAGGACTCTGTGCAGACCAGTCAAGTTGCTTCACCCCAAACTCGCTCATCCATGTCTCAATGGAGCTTGCTTTGTGCACTGGTGTTGGAACAGGGAGGGGCCATCCCCAAACTGTTCCCACAAGGTTGGGAGCATGAAATTGTCCAAAATGTCTTGGTATGCTGATGCCCTAAGAGTTCCTTTCACTGGAACTAAGGGGCCAAGCCCAACCCCTAAAAAACAACCCCACACCATAATACACTTGGCACAATGCAGTCAGGCAAGTACCGTTCTCCTGGCAACCACCAAACCCAGGCACATCCATAGGATTGCCAGACAGAAAAGCGTGATTCATCACTCCAGAGAACACATCTCTACTTCTCTAGAGTCCAGTGGCAGCATGCTTTACACCACTGCATCCGACGCTTTACATTTTACTTGGTGATGTAAGGCTTGGAAGCAGATGCTTGGGCATGGAAACCGATTCCATGAAGTTCCCTATGCACTGTTGTTCTGCCAATCTGAAGACCACACGAAGTTTGGAGGTCTGTAGCTATTGAGTCTGCAGACAGTTGGCGACTTCTGCGCACTGTGCTCTTAAGCATGTGCTGACCCCGCTTTGTCATTTTACGTGGCCTACCACTTCGTTACTGAGTTGCTGTTGTTCCCAGTTGCTTCCACTTTGTTATGATACCACTAACAGTTGACGGTGGAATATTTAGTAGCAAGGAAACTTCATGGAACACCTGAATCCAATGATTTGAAGAGGTGTCCTAATACTTTTGGCAATATAGTGTATATGTTTTAAAGCAATTTAAAGAATAATATGTGTTATTATTAACATAGTTATCTTGTTATATATGGGTAAAACATATATGCCTTCTGATTGATTTTAAAGGGTAAGAAAACTTTCAAACAGCATTTTCTGAACATTTCCTTACTCCCCATTCCCACTGTGCTGATGTAACCCACACTCCCTCACCTCCACTGGCATTTTGCCACGATGTTTACCTGTGGCTGATCTGTCTCTCCCGCTGCCTGTGTGTGCTGCAGTAGAACTACATAGACGGACCAGTCTCCCAGTCCTATAGAAGTCTATAGGGTTCTACAGCAGGTCCTAGACTTGGCGTTTAGTGACACTGCTGATCTAAACTGCAGCGATCCCCACAAATACCAGCAATCAGCTTCCGGTACAGGAAGTCTCCTATCACACAAAATGTATTTGCAGTCCTCTTTAGTAGATCATGTGACATGTAAAAGCCACAAATAATTTGTTATTATTGCTGGGAGACTTTCTGTACTGGTAGCTGATTGCTGATATCTGTGGAGATTCCTACAGAATAGAGGAGATCCGCAGCGCTGTCACTAATGCCCGGTCTACTGTAAGGGTAGTATAATGTTTTTACCATTGTGTCCCTACCACACATGCACAAGGTATCCACTCCATTTTTGCTTATTGCAGAGACACTGCCACACATGTGCGGTGGCATTGACATTTAAATGGACACCAGCACCATTCATAACAGCCATAACAAACGTGAAGCACATACGGTGAAGTCCATGCAGTAGATGTAGTTTGTGTTTCAATAGGACACGGCTTTCTAAATTCTGCCCCATCCGCTCTTACTATCACCTTCTGCTGTCACTCACACATGTAATGTAATCTCAGGCCTGGCATCTCACACCATCAACCCCTACCCTGCCCAACTTCTGCTACTTGGCCAGGAAGAATGATTTCAGCATCTGGAGCTACAGCTAGCAGCTACACAGTAGAGGCACCACTCACCATCACCCTTTTTACCACCAGGGCTGAAACCCTCCACCACTGTGCTTTAATGCCAACCCCCTTCCCCGCCCTAATGCTCTAAGTATGTTGGTGCTCAAATTGTTGTCCCATGAGCTGGATAATTTCTGTGCATAGTGACGCTGAGAGTGTGTACGTTACTCTTTCACTTCCTGTCAACATATTCCTTGTCAGTATGCAGTATACTGTATGGATACAGCATAACTAACCGAATCCTTGTACTGCCCCTCTCTCTCCCAGAATTTTACTGTACAGTAAATTTTAGGAGATTGTTATCACATATATTTGTTTGGAGATTAGCTCTAAGTTATCTCTATATGTTACCTCCTACTATGAAAATATTCCTTAGCAGACATATTTTTCAAACCAGATTTACATTTTCTTTCAGTAACCCATGTGGTACTTGCATTGAAGATATTCTATTTTTTACTATACATGTTACTATACATTTACTATACTATGCATTTGCTATACATAATTTTGAATCCTGCCTTTATGTTTATACATTTCTTATATGTAGCTTTAAATGTATACTGTTTTGATATATTTAAACCATCCATCATACAATACCTGGGCCAGATTTAATAAAGCATCTCTAAAATGCCCTGAGGTTTCAGAGTAAAGGTCTTGGTCCAGGTTGCATCCATATTCTAGAAAAGAAACAATTACTTGCACATCTTTTAAGGGCATGTGTATTTTATAAAATGCATTTAATGAAACATTATGATCCCTGTAGTAATGAATAATTGTCAACAATACCCCAAAAAAGTATCGGGTGATAGCTATTCTGATATCATATAACACAAAATACATTAGATTTAATGTGATATTAAAGTAAAAATATGTTTAAGCTATTTCAAATGCTGATTAAGTCAATTACAATGCATGCTGTTCCTTAATGTGTAAAGTTTTTATGCATAATCAGCTGGTCTACTGAGAACTGGCCCTGATACACTTTTTTAGGATGCCTCCTTTCCTTTAATGGGTCCTATGGAACCACCCTTGTGAGTGCTGTGTTTGTCTCCATGAATACACAGGCACAGCAAGGCAAGCCAGTCCCCTACTACTCACTCATCCTTCCTTTTCCTCTTTCCTCCTCACCCTTCTGCAAGCTAGTAGATGAACAGCTGCTGGAGATTGTGTTATCCCTTATGATCTTGTCTTAGTCAGGAAGTTCAGGGAATCCGAGCTGAGAGAGTTGGAGACAGTTCTTTGGAAACATCATGACTGTAAGTGCTTGGACAAAAATTTAAAGAAATACTTTGGTGGACAATCTGTATTTGTTTGATCTGGATTCATTATTAAAACAAGTTTGAGCGTTTAATACTACCTTAAAGTTCAACTCCAGATATATATAAATCGTGTTGTTTACCCATATCTTCAGAAAAAAATCACTTCTACTGTCGTGGTAAACGACCTGCTTCCCTATTTATAATGGTCTAGCCCCCTAGCAACTTTAGCGCAAAATTATAGCTAATTATAGCTAATTTGCCTACAAACGTCAGGTCGTCGTAATAATCTGGCCACTCAGCGTATATATAAATATTTATACCTGGAGTTTAGCTGTAATTTCAGTTGCCTTGTGCACTTTTTTCTCTTCTAAGAGAAGAATTGCAGAGTTAAGCAATTTATTCATGGGATATACTGTATGTCTGTTAAACACAGCCTATTGAGATGGGTGGAAGTTACTACAGCAAATTAAACCGTCCTTGAGAGAACCGTAGAAGCCACCATTGTTGACTTCTTCTAAACATGCTTGCAAAAAATTCCCAGGCTTTCATTCTGGCTTACTGGCCTCAAGACTTCATCATCTCATTTAAACAACCACTGACTTGAACAAGTATGCATGAGTGAGTGGTGCACTACTTTCCCCTGTAGTGAAGCCAGTTCCTCACACTGCTTTGCCCTGTAGTAAAGTGAGTCCCACACACTTATTTTTCCTGTAATAAAGCGAGTCTCTTCCAATGTTTTCTCCTGTAGTACAAATTTTTCCCCAAGCTTTCCCTGTAGTATAGTAAGTCTCCTGGTTTTACCAGAATTTAAAAAAAATATATGTTTCCCTGTAAGGACTATTCCATACTAGGGAACATGGAAAAATGTTACTCATCAGCAACGTTCAGCCCACTAGGGAATACTGCTGCATGGGTAAGGAGAGCATTCTTTCTGATCTCTTAGTGATTTTGTCATTAGAGAGTTGGTTAGAGCAATGGGATCAGTAGTGTAGCATAGCTCTAACTGTCCCTAACATAGGAGCACCTGTCTTTGCCTAACAGGGACCTCCAGTGTTGCAAGGCAGAAGTACTTACTACTAAGCCACTGTGTTGCCCTGGCAGAACAGATCACTGCATGTGCTTAGAAGGGCAACCCCATGGCTGCTAGAAAGCCTGGAGCTGCACATTGTTGGCTGATAAATCTACTCAAAAACTCATTAAAAGCAATGCATTTCTGTGTGGAAACTGTCTCATTCTGGTCAGCATTGGCCAACATATGTGAGGGTTTCCGATATTTTGAAACTTTTTTTTAATTTAGAAAACAGAAGTCTTCCTTATACTGTGAATAATAATTATATTGTGTAAAGCCATGGAAAGAATACTCACGCATTAAATAGATTTCCTTCAACTGAAATATATCTGATGTTGTTCTTGATACTAAAATATCAATGAGGCAGTTTTCATCGGTGCCAGCTCCCTGGAAACATGGGAATAATATCATAGACGTTACTAATGATACAGGTATTTTTTGGGAGTGTCGTATTGTGTTGTTTAAAACTTCTTATTCCACAATACTTTTTTTTTCTCATCTGAATTTTTATTATGCAGAAGATAAATGACAGCAGTAACAAACCATACATTGCATAAGTATGCATGAACAATGTAAAACACAGCAGTACGGAGTTGCTCGTGACTTTCTGACAGGATAAAAGGTGCTTATTATAAAGTACTAAGAAGGTACATCATGTGAGCAAAAAGTTGGTCTCTCTGGGCACGTCCGGGAGACGAGCTGATGAGATTGTGGGTAAAGAGGTAGCCTATGAGGGACTGGGGTCCAGCATCAAGTTGGATTCCACAAAACTTTTTAAAATGCTTTATTTTCAAATATTAATTGTAAGTGCACAGTAACCAATCAGAATTTACTCTGCATAAGTCATCAAGATGGATTCTGATTGGTTGCTATTTCAGAATAAGAACTTCAAAAAAGTGTTCTGATTAAATAGGGCAGATTATTTCATATTTACAGTATATCACCTGAAATTCTGTAAAGTATCTCACTATTAGTAGGGGTTGAGCACAGAAGCTATCTGTTTTATCATCACTCCATAGGGAACCAGTAAAACAGCAGGTTAGGAAGTCGTTGTTATTTATTAAAATGTCAAATTAACTAGTAAAGTAGTACATGATTGTAAATAATATCAATTAGTGCATATTATTATTTTGTATTATCAGCCTTCATATGGGTCTCTCCGTTTCACATGATTTCCTTTCAGTGGCGTAACAACCGGGGGTGCAGCAGGGGCGCGGGCCCCGGGCGAAAAGTGAAGGGGGGGCGCCGGCCGAAAATGGCACTTTCGGCTAAATGCCGAAAGTGACATTTTCCTGCGGTTTTGTCGGCGCGGCCGTGATTCCTTTCATCCCCGCTGGGACACAGAGCAGTGCCCAGCGGGGATGAAAGGAATCAGAGAGAAAATGACAGCCGGCCGAGCGCTGCGGGACGAGCGCTGTGAGCGGCCGGTGTCTTTCCTCCCACACCGCTCGGCCGCCTATCACAGTGCAGCATAGCGGTGTGGGGCGGGAGACAGCCAGCGCTGTCACAGGAGGCTGGGCTCTCCTCTTGCAGCCTCCTGTGACAGTGTGTGTCAGAGAGGAGAACGGGTACAAGCACTCAGCGATCACTGATCGCTGAGTGTTTGTACATAATTGAGGACCTGGTATGTATACTATATCCTCAATTATGAATGAATGGGAGTGATCTACATCTCCTCCTGTTCATTCATAATTGTAGTTATAGTAAACATACCATGTTATCAATGAACAGGAACACTCATAAAGGATTCCTGTTCATTGATAACAGGGGACACAGAAAAAGAGATTGAGGACTCTGTGTCCTCAATCTCTTTTTCTATTTTTAAAGGGAAATATCAGGGGTCTGTTTAGACCCCCAATATTTCCCCGAAGCCCCTAAAAGTAAAGTAAAAAATAAAAATATTTAATAAAAAATTAATTAATAAATAAAAATTAATTTTAAAAAATGAAAAAGTTTCAAAAAAAATAAAATATTAAAATTTGAAAAATTAAAATAAAAACATGTGTGTGTGGGGGGGAGGTGCAGGGTACAGTTCCAGTGGTTGTTTATATAATGGGGGGGGCAAAAAAAAATTTCTGCCCCGGGCGCCCAGAACTCTGGTTACGCCACTGTTTCCTTTATCTCCTTATTTGCGTTGTTGAAGAAATGCAATTGATAACAGAACTCAACAGCTGAAGCTGAAATTTACACACACAATTGAATAAATCAGATCAGTTACATTGTCAGTAGGGATGCCGAGATACTTTTTGAGTACCAGTACAGATACTTGGCATTTTCATGAGAACTATCAGGGTTGCTGAGGTTGCAGCTGGGACCTGGCTCTGGCACTCCCCCACTGTCCTGAAATCATTAGTCTGTATTGTTTTAGAAAAACTGTCACATGACAATAAACAAAAATTTATCAGTAATCGTACTTGTAAGTACTCGGCAAGTACCAGTACTCGTACTCGCAAAACTGGTATCTGTGCATCCCTTTATATATATTTATAAAAACAAAATCATACATTAAAACAGATGTACAAATCCCAGGAGCTCCGTGTGCTCCTTACAAATGACAGCTGCCTCCTAATTTTTGAATTTTTCTCTAGTGTAGTCTTGGAGCTCAACAGTTTCCGTTCATGTACTCGTACTTGTACCGAGTACTGTACTTGGTATCTGTGCAACCCTAATTGTCAGGTTTAAAAAGTTCAACCAAAGGACAAAAATAACATTAAAACCCTTGCATACGCAGAGCCCTAAGCCCACAGTTGATCCTATGAAGGCAAAAAACCTTATGGTTTGATTTACTTTAAGAGAGAGTGAAGTTCCAATGGCAATCAGAAGAGACAGCCAAGAGAGAGGGCCAGTTCACACCATAAAGTCTGTGTTCCAGAGTGTTCGGCTTCTAAAATGCACTAGAGCGCAAGACGGCCGGCTCACTGCGTTCATGGGTGGGAGGGGGCATAGTGGTGCATTGAAGTCAATGGCACCGTAGCCAAGCCCCCCATCCACAGTGCGATCGCCTGCACCTGGAACTCAGGCACATTAGTGACTGCGTTCCAGTCCAGTGCGATCTGCAAAAATAGTGCGGGCGATTGCTCTGCAGGCAGGGGGTGTGGCTGCAGTGCCATTGACTTCAATGCACCGCCACGCCCCCTCCCGCCCCTGAACGCAGGTGTTTCTTCGATGGTAGATCTCATTGAGCTCGTCATTTGAAAAGTAGATCTCCAGACGAAAAATTGTGGGCGCCCCTGCTGTACATATTCAGATGGATTATAAAAAAAATACAAACATACTTTTATAGGCTGACATTTCCAGTTTACAAGATGCACATAACATTTTTTTTTTAATTCTCAAACAAATCAGTTCAGTTACAGTTAAATGATGTGCTATAAAGTAGTGTTTCCCAAAGATTTAGATGTGCACCATTGGTTGTACTTTTCCTAAAGGCAGTAGTGGAACTTCAATGTCAGAAAATACGCTTACTCCAGTGGCACCGTCCATGACCAAGACTGTCTGCTTCTGTAACCTCCAGCTGACATTGTGGAGAGGACAGTATCCAGAGAGGACAAGTGCCTGGCAGTGTAGGTGGTTGACAAGATGAATGGGCAATTATGTAATCCTCCAGTTTTTTCCACCTTATATATTTACTTGTAGACCTCACCTAGTGCCCTTCACTTTTTTGTGTGTCAGACTTTCTGCTAAGTTCTCTGAATATCATGTGATTAAAAATCACAGGGACGTAGAAGAGGATGGAAGTAGGTGAGCTCTGTTTTTGACATTTATAGCAAGAAATTGCATGATAGAGATCTGAGCTCATTGGCACACATTTACCTGGCCAACCTTAACTTCTGTGCCAATTTTTTTTTTTACTGTGTTTAAAACTGTATACCTGTTTATCTATATAGCTGAAGCTCACATTAAACACACAACTGAATGAGCCAGAGGTGTGATTTGACTTTATATTCAGCAGCAGAACTGAAAGGAGAAGATGGCAGATTGCAGAAGAGTATGTAATTCAGGAAATCTGAAGGGACCTTCTCTATACAAATTGCACATTTTGGTAGAGAGAGTTTGTTTTCTAGTTTTGCAAAAATAATTATATTACACAATTGTTTAGCAAAGATCTGAAGCCTAATAATGGCACAAAACGTTACCATAATATATATGTGCATAGGTCACAGTAAAGACCTAATGCAGCTTTGGACCTAGATGTACTGGTGTTGCTTAACGTTTTGATTCTGATTACCAAACATCTTTATTTATAATATAAGTAATTTATTGATATGAAGCCTAAGTTACCTTCATAGCATGCCATAGTTCATGGGCATCATAGGCTGGAGGAGAGTGTATCAAACCCACCATGACCTCCTTAAAATGTCCATCAAGTTTTTCTTTCAAGTCATTAACTAGATCCTTAAAGAAATATAAATAGGTTATCATGGCAAGTCAGCATTGTTTTACTACTTTTTGCATCACTAGTTATAATCAAACATGTATTCTACACCATTACTAGCGACAAGACAGAGCTGGAGGGGGAATTGTTGGTAACATACTTTCTGTACAGTTGGAGTGACTTTCCATATTTCCCAACAGGACAGAAAGATATTAACAGCAAAAAAAACTTGATAGGTGACCTTCCATGCAGGAGAGGATTAGGAATATTTGGCATAGAGAGCAAATACAACCACAGGAGTGAAGGAGTTATGTTCTAGCATCAACTTACTTTGCAGTTCTCAGCACTCATTCACTTGGTATTCCAAAGCTGTGGGTGTTGTAACTCTTGCCAGGCACTGTGATGGCAAGAGGAATAGGGAGCAGATAACTATATAATGCCTAGCACCTTTCACTGACTGTAGCTCTCATTCCACTCGATATCTCCACTTATGGCCACCACCCTATCACATCATATTAGTAATAGCTTGGCCCCCCGCTTAGTCCTCCCCTGCTTCCCTGTTTTACTAAAAAAGTGTATTTTTTGTTGACCCAATCAAGAGACCAAGTGACACCTTAAACGGGAAATGAGGCAATATCTCTCCCCTGGGGACACTGCCAGCAACTAAAACTTTATAGAGGTTCTAATGCTTCCCTACATTATCTACAGGTGAAAAAAGGTTTTGCCTGGAGGTGGATTTTATGCTGTAAAGAGAGAATCTCTCCTTTGCTAAAGTCTGTGACTTGAAAGTACTTGGGTCAGACACAGGCAGGTAACTACGGTAGCAATTCTTCAGGAGGCCAGCAATAGTAGCACTTATACGTCTGTTGTAACAGTATCACTTTAAGGCCTAATATCAGCCTAGCATCTGAACTTTGCAGACTGTAGGCTAATTTACTAAAGGATTTAAGGATAATCACGCAATGAAATGTGTGAAGAATAACTTCAATTATCCAATCATGTGAAAAGAATATCCCTGTTATTTATTTAACCGGATTTATTTTGATTGTTGAAGTGACTATTCACACAATTTCTTGCATGAACATTCTCAAATCATTTATTAACCACTTCCGGGCCGGCCGTAGTAAAAAAAACGGCCGGCCCGGAGCTCTCTAGATCTGAGTGGGCGTCTTTAGAGCTCTGTA